CTACCAAACTGAAATGAAATGAAAACTTTAACGACCGTTTATGGAAATACCAAACTTCTTTAACTACGTTTGTATGTATAAGGTTCTTCCGGCTTAAAGAAACTTTAAGATACGCTGAAACGAAAAGCGTAATTTAAAGCTGCACTTTTTGCGGTTCTCCCACTATCATATTTCATCGTTTCCAGGCAAAGAAAATTTACAAAAAAGGAAAAACTTTCCCACACAATACTCTCTAGCGGACCAAAAAGTTGTCTATGAAAAGTTGGATTTGCCACCACCGCACACCGGCCAAGGACGGGGGCAATAAGCGGTTTGTTGTGGTCATTGCCTTTATATGAATTGCAATCGATATTCAGAGGCGGCTGATTGGATGGTATCTATTCGACTATCGCCGAACTGAATGCGGCTTAGATGGCCAATGAAGCGGCAAATAATCAATTATGATACTTTACAGCTACCACATACATACATACATACATACACACATGAATGTGGAACACCTCTGACAGGCCGGCTTATGTGGCGCATACGCAATATTTCCTTGGCTGGGACTTTGCTTTGAGGTTTCCTGAATCCAACAAAATCCCAATGCAAAAGTCCTATACAATAGAACCAAACAATGCGGGTTTTCAGGAGAATATTGCGCATTGTCAGTGCGTGGTTTTGTTATTCGTCCTTATGAGCGTGCAATGTAGATAGTATATAAAAGTGTGTGGGCTTAGTATATGGTTCACATCGTAGGTATTTGTGCCGACTTGATGCACTCACCCAGTAGGCACCTCAGCTGGGCCACATCCACTATACCATGAGCCACTCATACTCGCATTCATTCACCGACCCACGCCGCATAAGTCGCTCAAGTGGTAATTAAAATTATACCAACAAAGCGACAGCTCTAGGGCTAAGAAAGAGAGACCAGGGGGGGTGAGGGTGAAAGCCTGATGGAGCCCCTGGGTGTCACAGAAAGCAAAGCGGAAACGTTGTGACCAAGAGAGTCTCTCTGCTGATGGCTGCGAGTCTTCGAGCTTGGGTTCTACTTGCTGTATTGCCGTGGCATACACGCTAACAAGTTGCGGCTGTTCACACACATTCAAAGGCCCACATAGCCATGCATACACTGAAAGCAAGTGAGTCGACTAAGTCGAGGGATTCGACAATGAGATACCCATTAGGCAGTAGATTGCAGGTTTTAGTAACCGATATATCTTATAATATGAAACGTATTAAAGTTCTTGAGGGGTTTTTCTCGATTCACAGATCGGGGAGTTTGAGAGTTCTGGGAAACAATATCGATTGCTTTCTTCTGTATGTTACATAGATTTCTTTGAACACATTATACCCCTTGTACTTGCACGCCACGAGAACGGTGGATAAAAATACTCATACATATGCGCTTTGACAAGTTGAAATATTTATGAGTGCCCGTCGACTCGACCTAAAGACGCTGGTGACAAGCCAAGAAGAGCCTGAAACAAAAACGAGTACACAAAAAAAGAAAACAATAATGAAAAGAATACTAAAAATACTACCTACACATATGCATACAAACGTACCTATGTAAGTATGTACATGCGAGTATGTATTTTTAATTTCTAAACTACAGTTAGTCATTAAATATGTATTTAGACACAATTTTGCGAGACCAATTTCAATGGTTACATTATCATCAGCGACTAATTGCTTATATAAATTGAATTATAGAATCGTTCCAACTTTTGAATTTAAGCCTGCGTCAAATACATGAAGATGAAGCGGTGTCTTGCAGTGTGCTTCACATAATTCCTGAGTCTTATATCTATTTGAACCAAATACGATGCAATTTAATACGGTCCTTTCACATCGTTCCGTTGAATCGCTGTAGTAGAAGACGGCGTGCCTCCTGTCACAATCCCCCGTGCCAAAGGGCTTGCCAACGCAATCGGGACTTATCGCCTCCAACAGGGTAAAGGAAATCGCAAGCAAGATCGCCAGCAGTTTCATGTTCGACATCGTTTCAAAGGAAAATCCAGACAAAACGATTCTGAATCAGAATTTCTGATGAAGCAAGTAAGGTCTGTGACTAGTGGAACTAATCTGTAACTTAGTTAATACGCTTTTTCAGCCAGAAACTTGATTCATTTTACACGTAATTTTCTTAAATAATACAGGGTGATGTTCTTCCTCCCAGTATTCTGCACTCAGCCGTCACCATCAAAGTACGGTCATGCATACATATATGTACATATGATATGAGCAGAGAAACTGGAACTGATTTTTCCCGGAACTATACATAATCCTAGCACTATATGGATCAACACCTCTCGGTCTTCTCGGTTGATCGTTTAGTGCATCATTAAAAATACTCTACTGAGCAGAAACTTTCGAGTGCTCGACACTTTCGTGCGGCAACCGTTGCCGCCTTCGAGTGGCAAAAATTAAGTACATACGAGTATGTATGTTTGTATGTACATATGTATATAATGCACAAAAAATTAAAATTGCAAAAAGAGGAGGAAGATGGTGAAGCTTCCGCCAAGGGTGAATTTTAGTGCGTCTGGAAGGGACGGCTAGAATCTGCCATAAATTGTATGGACTTGCTGACAGAGCAGAGTCGCCTACCTTCAAATATTTACGAGTTGTGGCACCTCCTCGCGGCTGCCACCTGGTTAATGCATCCTCCAGCCTCGCTCTTTCGCTACTGCGTTGTTGGTAAGTCCCAGGCTTAATTAGCAGCAGGTCCCAGGACTGTCCTCGAATTAAAGATTCAGCGGTGAGGGGGAAAACTAATTAACGGTTAGCGCGTGTGTTTTTCTCGGCTACTATGCAGCTGGGGCTGGAAACTTTTCGACTGCCCAACTGTTTCTGACGCGCTTTTAACACACACACAAAAGCCCAGCGACTGGCTCTTCGGTTTTCCCTTATGGTTCAATTTGTTGCACAATTTCTTGGAAAATAATCTTTGTTGCAGCGGAAAATGGAAACACTTCTTTGCTAGGGCCAAAACTTGCGTTTCGCTTTATTAACAGGAGTCGACGACTGAGCGAAATGTCCTTTTTATACACACTTGTTCGCTTTTGCTTTGCCAAGGCGAGAGCTTTTGGGGCTCTCTCCTTCTCTAGCTTCCTGTATCTCTCTCTCAAGCTCAGAGAAACGTCTAAAATTTCTCTCGCGGTTTGTTATACCCGATACTCAAAATAAGTATTGGGGTATATTTGATTTGTGGTAAAAGTGGATGTGTGTAACGTCCAGAAGGAATCGTTTCCGACCCCATAAAGTATATATATTCTTGATCAGCATCAATAGCCGAGTCGTTTGAGCCATGTCTGTCTGTCCGTCTGTCCGTCCGTCCGTCTGTCCGTCCCCTTTAGCGCCTAGTGCTCAAAGACTATAAGAGCTAGAGCAACGATGTTTTGGATCCAGACTTCTGTCATATGTCACTGCTACAAAAATATTTAAAAACTTCGCCCCGCCCACTTTCGCCCCCACAAAGGACGAAAATCTGTTGCATCCACAATATTGCAGATTCGAGAAAACTAAAAACGCAGAATCATAGATAATGACCATATCTATCAGATTGCTGAATCTGGATCAGATCGGATTTTGTAACCAAAAGCAAGAAATCAATTTGCAGTGGCTACGCAGCGCCCGACGTCACGCTCAGACTGATTTTCTGTCTCTCTCGCACGCACTCTTTGTGGTGTCGCTTAATATTAGCGGCGTGTGCCATACTGACTTAGTATCGGGTATAACTGTAGAGTTGCGGTGTCCGCAGCAACTCACAACGTTCCCCCTCGTTTTGTGTTTAAGTTTGCGAAAATCCGAAAAGCTTTTTTAGTTACAGGGTGCCCAAAGTTCAACGGCTTTGTTCGTAGGCCATACTTTGATCAAAGGAATTTTTATAATTTTATTTGGTATTATATGTATGTATTTATTGCCGCGTATTGACTATGGTTTGATCGATAGATGATCATTAAATACAGATATTGGATAAATAATGGTTACATCTAATTTTTCAGTAACAATTATTGTAAAAATGCACAGTCGAGAGAACTGCAACTGTGATGGGTGCTGACCTAGGAGAGCTTTTATTTATTTATCCACACCTCCAAAGGAAATCCTTGCAAGCTGCCGCTAGGTAAGTTTGGCTTCAAAAGCTTAAAAGCCTTGGCGGAGAGCTGAGCTGAAATAAGCTTTTAGATTTAAGCTCTTAGCTTTTTGTCCCTCGCGTGCGTTCCATTACTTTGAGTTCGTAAAATAATGTTCTTTTCATTTAGTTTTAATTTTCATTGTGTTTGTCTTTTCGAGTGATCTACACTCAGTGGCGGCATTACGGCCGGGGTATACTCGCAGGTGTTCACAGAAATTTATTTGATCTCTGGATGTGGTTGCTGAAAGATAGTCTCGTGGTTCAATAATAAGGCGTGGATTAAGCGGTACAAAGAAATAGGGTTATTTTATTGATCTTAAAAGGTACAGAGCTTAGTATATGCTCGGGTTCTCCTTCTGGCTCTTTCTTCGGGATCGTCTTTCGGGGTGGCCGCACGTGGCGGATAGCTGTGGTTGTACCTTCAGAAAGAACGTGTGAATGCTCCAATATTTGGTAACATTTTAAACGATCGAGTGACAAGCAAAGCGGAAATGCCTGAAAGAGCAGGCGATCAACGTAATCGATCACTTGAAGCGAACACATCAGAATAATGGGACTGAAGACAAAAATTCTTTTCGGCATCTTCCTACATCGGATGCTCTCAGCATGTGGCTATTGCTCCCAATTGGTATTCGCGGGAAGAGTCTTCGTAGTCGGCGGGCTATCCTGTGTCTCTATATACATCGATGGAGTTATGTTGTATCGTTAATATACCATACCGAGTCGCACGCCATCAATCTCCCATATTCAGGCTATTATATAAATACGCAATAATGAAATATACCATTTTTCCTCCGTGATTCTATTGTGATTAAGGTACCAGGAATAGACCACATTTGGTTCTTTGAGTTCAGTTTTGCATTTGATTTTAGTTTATTTGAAACTAATTAAACGGTGTACATTACATTTAAATTGTGTTGCTTTGCACTTGTATCCTAAATATGCTCTCTTTGATGTAGAAATATAAAATCTATGTAGTATTTGCAACTCTATCAATCACATTCGACTAAAATCTAACATTATAAGCGACAGATAAAACAAAAATCAGTGAGCGACGCACATTACGATTAAAACAACAACAACTACAGCTCGCTGATCATCCATTATAACAGGACACCGGCATTTGATGCCCGATGCGAATCGTTTTAGTGATTTTTCAAATCAAATATTTCACGTAGCAAAGGTTCTACCTGGGATGGGTTAACATTTAAATAGACATTTATAATGAATTTGTTCAGACGCTCCACGTCTGAAATCTTTTGGATTAGCTTGATAAACGCATTTTTCGCCTCACAGCCAGAGTAAACACTCTCCAAATATCTTCGCAGAAGATAATAGTAGGAATTCTGCAAAAGTAATCCGACAATATTAATCACAATTCAGATGTGGAAATCTCAAAAAGGACAGACCTGTTCCAATCTTATCACGTCTTTGTGTATCACTCGGGATCGAGCTGAAGTGAAGAGAACGATGGCACACATTATCAAAATGATGTTCTCATCCATGCGCCATTTCTCGTCAAAGGTGGTGATGAATTTCTGATGCTCCTCGTAGATGTTTCCTTCGGCGAACTTGAGAAGGTCAGTTCGTATGGTGCCCATATTTTCTTTGGTGTGTGGCACCTGGAAAAAAAACAATTTATATTCGTAGTAAATCAAGTATTGCCATAGAACTGCTTTTCCCCCTCTAAAAGGTCCTATATATACATATATGCATAGTCTTACTGAAGCTGTTTAAAAAGTACCTCGAAAGCTGTCGTCAAGCTATAACTATTATGATTTTCATTGAAAGTTTTACCATTTAAGATGTGTAGTTGTAAAAAAGTTCCTGAATTTTCCGTACATCATCGAAATGAAATGGAAATGATGTGAGCGAACCAAAAAGGTTCAGTTTTTGTACAACTTCTCACGCTAGGGTACTTTCAGTTTCTTTTGCTGGAAAATCTCGTGAAATTCTACCAAACTGAAATGAAATGAAAACTTTAACGACCGTTTATGGAAAAACCAAACTTCTTTAACTACGTTTGTATGTATAAGGTTCTTCCGGCTTAAAGAAACTTTAAGATACGCTGAAACGAAAAGCGCAATTTAAAGCTGCACTTTTTGCGGTTCTCCCACTATCATATTTCATCGTTTCCAGGCAAAGAAAATTTACAAAAAAGGAAAAACTTTCCCACACAATACTCTCTAGCGGACCAAAAAGTTGTCTATGAAAAGTTGGATTTGCCACCACCGCACACCGGCCAAGGACGGGGGCAATAAGCGGTTTGTTGTGGTCATTGCCTTTATATGAATTGCAATCGATATTCAGAGGCGGCTGATTGGATGGTATCTATTCGACTATCGCCGAACTGAATGCGGCTTAGATGGCCAATGAAGCGGCAAATAATCAATTATGATACTTTACAGCTACCACATACATACATACATACACACATGAATGTGGAACACCTCTGACAGGCCGGCTTATGTGGCGCATACGCAATATTTCCTTGGCTGGGACTTTGCTTTGAGGTTTCCTGAATCCAACAAAATCCCAATGCAAAAGTCCTATACAATAGAACCAAACAATGCGGGTTTTCAGGAGAATATTGCGCATTGTCAGTGCGTGGTTTTGTTATTCGTCCTTATGAGCGTGCAATGTAGATAGTATATAAAAGTGTGTGGGCTTAGTATATGGTTCACATCGTGGGTATTTGTGCCGACTTGATGCACTCACCCAGTAGGCACCTCAGCTGGGCCACATCCACTATACCATGAGCCACTCATACTCGCATTCATTCACCGACCCACGCCGCATAAGTCGCTCAAGTGGTAATTAAAATTATACCAACAAAGCGACAGCTCTAGGGCTAAGAAAGAGAGACCAGGGGGGGTGAGGGTGAAAGCCTGATGGAGCCCCTGGGTGTCACAGAAAGCAAAGCGGAAACGTTGTGACCAAGAGAGTCTCTCTGCTGATGGCTGCGAGTCTTCGAGCTTGGGTTCTACTTGCTGTATTGCCGTGGCATACACGCTAACAAGTTGCGGCTGTTCACACACATTCAAAGGCCCACATAGCCATGCATACACTGAAAGCAAGTGAGTCGACTAAGTCGAGGGATTCGACAATGAGATACCCATTAGGCAGTAGATTGCAGGTTTTAGTAACCGATATATCTTATAATATGAAACGTATTAAAGTTCTTGAGGGGTTTTTCTCGATTCACAGATCGGGGAGTTTGAGAGTTCTGGGAAACAATATCGATTGCTTTCTTCTGTATGTTACATAGATTTCTTTGAACACATTATACCCCTTGTACTTGCACGCCACGAGAACGGTGGATAAAAATACTCATACATATGCGCTTTGACAAGTTGAAATATTTATGAGTGCCCGTCGACTCGACCTAAAGACGCTGGTGACAAGCCAAGAAGAGCCTGAAACAAAAACGAGTACACAAAAAAAGAAAACAATAATGAAAAGAATACTAAAAATACTACCTACACATATGCATACAAACGTACCTATGTAAGTATGTACATGCGAGTATGTATTTTTAATTTCTAAACTACAGTTAGTCATTAAATATGTATTTAGACACAATTTTGCGAGACCAATTTCAATGGTTACATTATCATCAGCGACTAATTGCTTATATAAATTGAATTATAGAATCGTTCCAACTTTTGAATTTAAGCCTGCGTCAAATACATGAAGATGAAGCGGTGTCTTGCAGTGTGCTTCACATAATTCCTGAGTCTTATATCTATTTGAACCAAATACGATGCAATTTAATACGGTCCTTTCACATCGTTCCGTTGAATCGCTGTAGTAGAAGACGGCGTGCCTCCTGTCACAATCCCCCGTGCCAAAGGGCTTGCCAACGCAATCGGGACTTATCGCCTCCAACAGGGTAAAGGAAATCGCAAGCAAGATCGCCAGCAGTTTCATGTTCGACATCGTTTCAAAGGAAAATCCAGACAAAACGATTCTGAATCAGAATTTCTGATGAAGCAAGTAAGGTCTGTGACTAGTGGAACTAATCTGTAACTTAGTTAATACGCTTTTTCAGCCAGAAACTTGATTCATTTTACACGTAATTTTCTTAAATAATACAGGGTGATGTTCTTCCTCCCAGTATTCTGCACTCAGCCGTCACCATCAAAGTACGGTCATGCATACATATATGTACATATGATATGAGCAGAGAAACTGGAACTGATTTTTCCCGGAACTATACATAATCCTAGCACTATATGGATCAACACCTCTCGGTCTTCTCGGTTGATCGTTTAGTGCATCATTAAAAATACTCTACTGAGCAGAAACTTTCGAGTGCTCGACACTTTCGTGCGGCAACCGTTGCCGCCTTCGAGTGGCAAAAATTAAGTACATACGAGTATGTATGTTTGTATGTACATATGTATATAATGCACAAAAAATTAAAATTGCAAAAAGAGGAGGAAGATGGTGAAGCTTCCGCCAAGGGTGAATTTTAGTGCGTCTGGAAGGGACGGCTAGAATCTGCCATAAATTGTATGGACTTGCTGACAGAGCAGAGTCGCCTACCTTCAAATATTTACGAGTTGTGGCACCTCCTCGCGGCTGCCACCTGGTTAATGCATCCTCCAGCCTCGCTCTTTCGCTACTGCGTTGTTGGTAAGTCCCAGGCTTAATTAGCAGCAGGTCCCAGGACTGTCCTCGAATTAAAGATTCAGCGGTGAGGGGGAAAACTAATTAACGGTTAGCGCGTGTGTTTTTCTCGGCTACTATGCAGCTGGGGCTGGAAACTTTTCGACTGCCCAACTGTTTCTGACGCGCTTTTAACACACACACAAAAGCCCAGCGACTGGCTCTTCGGTTTTCCCTTATGGTTCAATTTGTTGCACAATTTCTTGGAAAATAATCTTTGTTGCAGCGGAAAATGGAAACACTTCTTTGCTAGGGCCAAAACTTGCGTTTCGCTTTATTAACAGGAGTCGACGACTGAGCGAAATGTCCTTTTTATACACACTTGTTCGCTTTTGCTTTGCCAAGGCGAGAGCTTTTGGGGCTCTCTCCTTCTCTAGCTTCCTGTATCTCTCTCTCAAGCTCAGAGAAACGTCTAAAATTTCTCTCGCGGTTTGTTATACCCGATACTCAAAATAAGTATTGGGGTATATTTGATTTGTGGTAAAAGTGGATGTGTGTAACGTCCAGAAGGAATCGTTTCCGACCCCATAAAGTATATATATTCTTGATCAGCATCAATAGCCGAGTCGATTGAGCCATGTCTGTCTGTCCGTCTGTCCGTCCGTCCGTCTGTCCGTCCCCTTCAGCGCCTAGTGCTCAAAGACTATAAGAGCTAGAGCAACGATGTTTCGGATCCAGACTTCTGTGATATGTCACTGCTACAAAAATATTTAAAAACTTCGCCCCGCCCACTTTCGCCCCCACAAAGGACGAAAATCTGTTGCATCCACAATATTGCAGATTCGAGAAAACTAAAAACGCAGAATCATAGATAATGACCATATCTATCAGATTGCTGAATCTGGATCAGATCGGATCATTTTTGTAACCAAAAGCAAGAAATCAATTTGCAGTGGCTACGCAGCGCCCGACGTCACGCTCAGACTGATTTTCTGTCTCTCTCGCACGCACTCTTTGTGGTGTCGCTTAATATTAGCGGCGTGTGCCATACTGACTTAGTATCGGGTATAACTGTAGAGTTGCGGTGTCCGCAGCAACTCACAACGTTCCCCCTCGTTTTGTGTTTAAGTTTGCGAAAATCCGAAAAGCTTTTTTAGTTACAGGGTGCCCAAAGTTCAACGGCTTTGTTCGTAGGCCATACTTTGATCAAAGGAATTTTTATAATTTTATTTGGTATTATATGTATGTATTTATTGCCGCGTATTGACTATGGTTTGATCGATAGATGATCATTAAATACAGATATTGGATAAATAATGGTTACATCTAATTTTTCAGTAACAATTATTGTAAAAATGCACAGTCGAGAGAACTGCAACTGTGATGGGTGCTGACCTAGGAGAGCTTTTATTTATTTATCCACACCTCCAAAGGAAATCCTTGCAAGCTGCCGCTAGGTAAGTTTGGCTTCAAAAGCTTAAAAGCCTTGGCGGAGAGCTGAGCTGAAATAAGCTTTTAGATTTAAGCTCTTAGCTTTTTGTCCCTCGCGTGCGTTCCATTACTTTGAGTTCGTAAAATAATGTTCTTTTCATTTAGTTTTAATTTTCATTGTGTTTGTCTTTTCGAGTGATCTACACTCAGTGGCGGCATTACGGCCGGGGTATACTCGCAGGTGTTCACAGAAATTTATTTGATCTCTGGATGTGGTTGCTGAAAGATAGTCTCGTGGTTCAATAATAAGGCGTGGATTAAGCGGTACAAAGAAATAGGGTTATTTTATTGATCTTAAAAGGTACAGAGCTTAGTATATGCTCGGGTTCTCCTTCTGGCTCTTTCTTCGGGATCGTCTTTCGGGGTGGCCGCACGTGGCGGATAGCTGTGGTTGTACCTTCAGAAAGAACGTGTGAATGCTCCAATATTTGGTAACATTTTAAACGATCGAGTGACAAGCAAAGCGGAAATGCCTGAAAGAGCAGGCGATCAACGTAATCGATCACTTGAAGCGAACACATCAGAATAATGGGACTGAAGACAAAAATTCTTTTCGGCATCTTCCTACATCGGATGCTCTCAGCATGTGGCTATTGCTCCCAATTGGTATTCGCGGGAAGAGTCTTCGTAGTCGGCGGGCTATCCTGTGTCTCTATATACATCGATGGAGTTATGTTGTATCGTTAATATACCATACCGAGTCGCACGCCATCAATCTCCCATATTCAGGCTATTATATAAATACGCAATAATGAAATATACCATTTTTCCTCCGTGATTAAGGTACCAGGAATAGACCACTTTTGGTTCTTTGAGTTCAGTTTTGCATTTGATTTTAGTTTATTTGAAACTAATTAAACGGTGTACATTACATTTAAATTGTGTTGCTTTGCACTTGTATCCTAAATATGCTCTCTTTGATGTAGAAATATAAAATCTATGTAGTATTTGCAAATCTATCAATCACATTCGACTAAAATCTAACATTATAAGCGATAGATAAAACAAAAATCAGTGAGCGACGCACATTACGATTAAAACAACAACAACTACAGCTCGCTGATCATCCATTATAACAGGACACCGGCATTTAATGCCCGATGCGAATCGTTTTAGTGATTTTTCAAATCAAATATTTCACGTAGCAAAGGTTCTACCTGGGATGGGTTAACATTTAAATAGACATTTATAATGAATTTGTTCAGACGCTCCACGTCTGAAATCTTTTGGATTAGCTTGATAAACGCATTTTTCGCCTCACAGCCAGAGTAAACACTCTCCAAATATCTTCGCAGAAGATAATAGTAGGAATTCTGCAAAAGTAATCCGACAATATTAATCACAATTCAGATGTGTAAATCTCAAAAAGGACAGACCTGTTCCAATCTTATCACGTCTTTGTGTATCACTCGGGATCGAGCTGAAGTGAAGAGAACGATGGCACACATTATCAAAATGATGTTCTCATCCATGCGCCATTTCTCGTCAAAGGTGGTGATGAATTTCTGATGCTCCTCGTAGATGTTTCCTTCGGCGAACTTGAGAAGGTCAGTTCGTATGGTGCCCATATTTTCTTTGGTGTGTGGCACCTGGAAAAAAAACAATTTATATTCGTAGTAAATCGAGTATTGCCTTCAAGTGTGTTATGTCTTACTTTCCAGGAATCGCGATCGTCGTCGTAGATCATCACCGAACGCATTATCATCATTTCGGTACAGCCCCCTTTAAGAAGGGCCACCTGGTCCTCCTGGCACATGTCACGGAATGCAGTTATCTTCTTGGCCATCTTGATTAGCCGCTTTATAGCCACGGCCGTCAGATTGATGAGTTGCAATAGCTTCGGATTATGGCGTGTGTCGTCAGGCTGGGGTTGAACAATAAAATATAACGCACAGGTGGCTCCATTATTATCGCACAAAACATTAGGGTTTGTCTATGAAAAGTGACTCAATCGAATAGTGCGGCAATGCTTATCGCAGCGCCAAACACCTGCGTGCTCCACATTTCGTAGAAATGTATCGTATTCCCTAATTAACAATAATGAAATGTGCTAATTGCGATGAAGCTCCAACGGTAAACAGTTGAATAAACGGCCGACCAATCGTCAGCTGGAGGCTCATGAGCGCCTGCTGCCGCTGTTGATAATGGGTGATAATGCCATCGTTGGCGCTGCCCCATGCTGATAAAACCACTGTCTGGGTGGGTCTTGCCTGACAGTCGTAGACTCCCAGAGTGAGAGAGAGACCTCACTTTTATGGCGAGATTATTCAAAGTTGTGTTTACATTTTGGAGGAGCGCTTTGCTGGGCACACAGAAACGGCTCGGAAGTGACATGTCAAAGCGATACGCACTGACTCACGGGCCTGTGGGCTCCGCCAGGTGCTAAAAATATATCGGCTCCGGCACTGCACGATTAGATAAGCCGGGCACTGTTAAACGTTATAACTAAAGGAATGAAAGGGTGCTTGGTGGAGCAAATGACTGATGTGGTGGTGGTGGTGGTGCTGGTGCTGGTGGTCACCTTAATGCGATCGTCGCCCATCATCAGGGCACTTAGATCCTCGTCCACCGGATCGTAGAGAGCTTCGCTGGCCAAGCGCAGTTCGCGCAGCTTCATTTGCTCGGCTTCGTTAAGTTCGCGGTCCATGTGCATGGTCGAGGGAGCGCAAATTGGCTGTTGGGGCATATGCTGCTGCTGGTTGTTGTTTGTGTTGGCATTACAGCCATTGTAGGCGGACTGACCGCCCATGTAGGACATCTCCTCCTTTATTCGCGATGCTGCCTGAATGCTGTTGAAGGCCTGATACTCGATCCGAATGACCTCCGAGAGCACAGACTCGATCGAATTGATGCTGAAATCACTGTCCAGACTTGGCTCGTCATTGTAATTGGTTTGCATGAAGGTTTTCAGGTCGAAGTCGGGGGAATTGGCTATGTAAGGCAGTGGATGGCTGCTCGATGTGCTGGGCTGCTCATCTCCCATTTGGTTGGGACAGGGCGAATGGTACTGCAAGTCGACGGCCACGTCGTGGGGCGAGCTGGTGCTTGTGTTGATTGGCGAAGGGCTCCCGCTCTCTAGCATGGACTGTATAACCGTATCCACTCGCTCACTTTCTGGCTTTGCGTTCCGTTCCGGCTCTTGTCCGCCGCCGCTAGCCTTGTCCAGCAATGGCTTGCGGTCTGTCGGTTGGGATGAGTTCGTCCCGCCACTTAAGATGCGATTGACGATTCGGAGAGCCTCTGCTGGAGTGTTCATAAACTTATTCATGATGTCGATGGCATCCTCCGGTGAATGCATCAGGTTCTGCATGAACTCCACCACATCTGCCGGCGAGTCAACAATCTTGGAGATAATCTCGACCCCGTCCGTTGGGGAGCTCATGAACTTTGTGAATACTGTCAAAGCGTTGAACGGCGAGTTCATAAATTTACTTATGATCTTGAGGGCATCGCCTGAAAACATATGCGACTGGGATTAGCTTATGAACGATATGTGTATGTCAAGGCCACCACCAACCTGGATAGTCAATCAAATGGGATACCAGTCTGAGGGCATCATTTTGTGAGCCAATGACCTTCTCCATTACCGAGATGGCCTCCTTTTGGGTGCGCATCAATCTATTAATGGCTTGGGATGCTCGATCCGGGTCGGAGACAATCTGATCGACGATTTTATCGGCCGTCATCAGGAGCGGATTTATTTCGCTCGGCGATCGAGCGTGTGCAGATGAGCTTGCTGGTCCAGCCACGCAGCCATTAGCGCCGCTTTCCACCGATCCGCAGCTCTGCGAGTCCTGTGATCCGGAGTACAACTCCAGATTGCTGCTGCTGTCAGCTTGAGCCTTGCTATCATCGGGATCATCGGCATTCTCCATCATGCGGCGTTTGGCGCGATTGTTCTCTATTTTACGGCGCTTGATCAGCTTGTCCTCCTCGGACATGATGTTCTCGCTCTTCATGCCAATGTCTAGGCATTTTTTCAGGCGGCACTTTTGGCAGAAACGCCTCGTTACCACTGTGATGTCACAATTCTGGTTAAACGGACAGGTAAACTGTTTCTTAGCCAGGGCGTTCCGGCGAAAGAACGCCTTACAGCTCTCGCAAGTTACGGCGTTGAAATTGTAGCCAAGGGCCTTGTCGCCGCAGACGGCACAGTTTTTTGGCGGTGACATGTCACAGCTTTCAATTAGAATTCTGATTGATTTTTTAATTGCTTCAGTTTTGTTGTGGCCTGGAGCTAGTGGTTGGTACGGGGCTCCCTCAGTAAAAAAAAAAACCTTGGCCAGCACTTAAAATTCGTCAACAGCTACAACTGACGCTGCTTGTCAACATATTAAGATCTACATTAAATTTATTGATTGCACATAATGGCCCTATAGCACGCAGAAATCACTAGTCTTCGTTATCACCACCACATAATTTTAATGAATTAATGTCCGTCCAAGATCCAATCCAATAACAACAAGCCAGCCACGCCGACACGTGAATGGCTGAAAAACGCAACTGTGAGCAACGCCACGAAATTTTGAGTAGGAATATCGATATTATACCATCCCTAAACTGAACATTCGATGGTTTTGCAGCTGACAATTTTTTCTGAAAATAAGACGAATTTAAACAATTAAAATGAATCGAGTAAAGACTGCACAGTCCAAAACTGGCGAAATCATTGCCTACAGCGAAGGAGCAATTCGCAACAACATATCCGCAGTGGAGTACTGCCGGACTTCGATGGCCGCTATTTCGGGCTGTGCTGCTGGTAATTGACACAAATTTTTAATTGATCAGCAAATGTGGAAGACAAGACCATTCATGAATGAATTCTCATTTTTAGGAATCTTGGGCTTAAGCGGCACACTGGGATTCCTCTTCTACTTCCTGTCGGTGTTTGTCCTGTGGCTGATGGTGCTGCTGAAGTCGGGCACGCAGTGGCGAAAGTACTTCATTAGCCGCAGCAACCTGCTGACCAACCAATTCATGGGCGGCCTTTGCACCTATGTGCTCTTCTGGACATTCTTGTATGGCATGGTTCATGTGTATTAAGTTAGCGCATTTACAAACATATAGAAAAATAAACATAAGATTTGACTAGGCAATACAGAAAATTATAGTGTATAGTGCTAGTACGATTCTAGGTTTGTACAACCGATGCGGCCGCTGCCGTCCCCGAGCAGTCGCACCATGGAGTTTTATTTACATCACATTCAAGCATAATGTTCAACACGGTTATGTCGATCCCTTCGATTGTCAGTCCCTGCACCTTGAGTATTTTGTACTTGACGTTGTCGAGACCCGTTTTGTGGTCCCGCTTTCGTGTCATCTCTTTTTGATTGAAGCACTTTTGAGTGTCCCGCTTCCGGTGGTGGCGATTGTGAATATGGCTTTAGAGACAAAAAAGTTTGGTGACATTGATGATGGATTAACCCTGGTGTTTCTGCTTACCCAAATGTGTCGTTGATGCCAGTCTTTATGTTTTGTGGCCGCGTGACCTGCAGTCCCGCATCTCGGATGCGTACGAAGAATTCATCGTCCTCCAAACCCCAGCCCCAATATTGATTCGACATTCCGTTCATTTTCTGAAAGTGCTCACGCCGCACCAGCAAAATACCACCAACAAAGTTATCGTAGTGATATTTCGGGTGCAGCTTTGGCCCGGCAATGTGCAGGGGTCCCATGTTGCTGGGGTATTCGTAGAGAAGATCGTCGTTGCGGGGCAACAGGTCGACGTCGTGCATGGCAATATAGTCGTAGACCTCGTGGCAAAACTGGAATCCCACGTTGATGAGGGAAGCACGATTAAAGCGGAACCTGTCCACTTGATTTAGTAGGAATATATGATGGGCAACACCTTGCCGCCGAAGGAAATCGGTGATATGTGGCACAAACTGCAGCAGCTCCTCAAATCGGTCCCGGAAGGGCACCAACACTGCCATCTTGTGTGCCGCCGTGCTGTGAACATGGTCCTGTTCCTTGGGTGCGGGTGTCACAGACGCTGATTTCTTCTGCACTGGTGCACTTCCAACAAGTTTCGCCAATGGATTTGACAGGGGGCATATGCAGTCTAAAAAAAGGAGCGACACCGATCACTATTTTTAGAATCTATCCATGTCAACCGACCCACTCACCTGAGCCCAGCGGCATGAAACTTAGAACCGCAATGCCGCCCATGCAGAAGGACAGGCCGCACACAAAAACCCAATTTATGGTGGATATATTAACCATTTGAAATAGCTGATTAACTAGTTGTCCGTCAGGCTAAAAACGGTGTCAAATCCATAGGAAAAGCAACAATTATTATTAAGACAATTTCAATGCAATGTTTGCAAGCAGTGCTGCCAGCTTAGCATATTTCTGGCTAGATCTGGCATATTTAAAAGTGGAATAGCTCATACAATTTTTAATTAGCTTCTGTGGGCTGTTTAGCTTTAGGAAAATTTTAATGACTAGCACTCTGTTATCTTAGGCATTATTTTAACAGTTTTCAGTTTATTTTTTGGCAAATATTGTCACTAAAGACTTAATTAAAGTCTATTAACAAGATCATGACTAAAATTTGTAGCATATTTATTTTCGATGTTAGCCATTTTTGGCATTTTCTGACAGCACTGTTTGCAAAACGACGGTTGAGAGCTTTCCCGAACATATGAACGAACTTAACCCACTTAACGCCTCCATTTAAACAGGTGAAAAACTTGAGTTCAGCAACGGATAACAATACTGTTTGTATATTAATGATTGGAAATCATATTCAACAATTTTTATATTCGGTTAACTATTACTATTAGATAAAAAGAGAGCGAAAAGGGGAGCCAATAACTGTTTCCAATACCTGTTCGCTAAGGCTGCGCGCAAAAGTTGAATTGTTTGAAAGTGATGAAGTGACAATGATATGAAAAACGTATGGAACCTTTTAAAATTACGTTGTCCCAACGCTATTCCCCGGCCCCGACCAGCAGTCTGAAACCACAACAGAAAACGGAAGCCAAACCAAACATACAATTAAGTCACTTATATCCAAGAATACATATGTACATATATACTTGCTCTGGTTGATGCTTCTATCGCCATAGCTACTTTTAAAAAATATGGTATTCACAAAAGCATTAATTATTCTCCTCCAAAGCACATATTATGGATTAATCTTATGGTATCAACTCTAGTACAATACTTGAAATACAAGCTGAATTACTTCCAGAACTTCTTGACGGACATGTTCTTCTCCGAGTCCTTTTGCATCACCTTGGATACGGCCATCTCAAAGTCTTCCTGGGTGACGTGGACGCGGCGCTCGCGCAGAGCATACATTCCGGCCTCGGTGCAGACGCCTTTGGCCTCAGCCCCGGAGGCCCCAGGAATCAGCTCGGCGATCTTGCGCAGGTTGATGCCACGGGTGAGGTTCATTTTGCGCGAGTGGATCTTAAGGATGTCGAGGCGCGCCTCTTCGTTGGGTGGAGGGAACTCGATCTTGCGGTCCACACGACCGGGACGTAGCAAAGCCTGGTCGAGGACGTCGATGCGGTTGGTGGCCATGATCACCTTGATGTTCTTTGTGGCCTCGAAGCCATCCAGCTGATTGAGCAGCTCCAGCATGGTGCGCTGCACCTCGGAGTCGCCCCTGCCGGTCTCCAAGCGAGCCGAGCCAATCGAGTCGATCTCGTCCATGAAGATAATAGACGGAGCGTGCTCGCGCGCCATCACGAACAGCTCGCGCACCATGCGCGATCCCTCGCCGATGAACTTCTGCACCAGCTCCGATCCGGAGACGCGTATGAAGGTGCACTCGGTGTGGTGGGCCACGGCGCGTGCCAACAGAGTCTTCCCGGTGCCGGGCGGCCCGTACAGAAGCACCCCCTTGGGCTGCGCGATGCCGAGGGCGTCGAAGAGCTCGGGATGCTTGATAGGCAACTCGATCACCTCCTTGATTTCCTTGATCTGCTTGTCAAGGCCTCCGACCATCTCGTAAGTGGAGTCGGGCACCTTCTCAACCAGCATCAGAGACACAAGCGGATCCACCTTGCTCGGCAGGATCTTGTGCAGAGTGTAGCTCTCGTTGCGCAGCGCCACGCGGCAGCTGGGAACCACGTCCTTAATGTCTATGCCCTTGTCAACATCCACCACGTACTTGCCCTCAGGATGTACCTTCACCAGCACCTTATTCTTGTCCATTGGCTTTATCACCTCGCCCACGTAGCTGCCCTGTTCCAGCAGCATCTGCAGTTCCTCGCGCAACATGCGCACTGTCGTAAATTATGAGTGGAGAAGTAGGAATCAGTGTCTATCCGAGGAAAAATTCTTAAGAACTGGACTACTCACCGTTCCCATTGAGCTCGTTGCGCTGAGCCTGGAGACGGCGAAGATTGGCGTTCTTTTCAGCCACCGTAAACTGCAGCTCGGAAATCTTCTGCATGAAGTATGATTGGAATCCCAGGCCCTTGACTGCACCGCCATTGACGGCCACAAGCGCAATATCAATATCCATCTTCATCATCACTCCAAAAATCGAATTTTTCAACTTGGCACCGAAATTTGCAAAAATGGCTTTCTGGCTTTTTTTTTCGGATGAGACGACAGTTATTGCCAGTGTGACCTCAAATTTATCGTGAAAAAATATACCGTCCGACTCTCAGAAATATGTTAAAATATACCGTCTCATTTTAAAAATATACCGTACATATTCTGACGAATTCAAGATCTATTTTACATATTCCTCGTTTTTGATCTTCCGTCGAATATTACTAGCTATATAGAACATATAGCCATGACCACATAATTTTATCCGATTAGTATATCTATTTTCTAATTGACATTAATTAACACTTGCCTTTATTGAATTTTGCGTAAAAAGATGTTTCGGCAAAGAAGGTAAAAAAAGGTTTATCAAAAATTGGGAAACAAAAATGTCGAAAGAGGATAGTTGTTCATATTGCTCAATTTAGAGATTCTGTTGAATAATTCTGGCGAACTAAAACCATTAGTTTTGCCCACATCATTTTAGACCATTGATGAATAAATTTTCTATAAGATTGGGTAGTTTTTAGTCCTTGCTTTTAGTGTACTTTGGCTTAAACAAAATAGTTAATCACAAATAATAATTATGATAATAATTATTCAAAAAAATCAAAAATAACAATTATAATAATAATTATACAATAAAAATCAAAAATAATAATTATTCAATAAAAATCAAGAATAACAGTTATAATAATAATTATACAATAAAAACCAAAAATAATAATTATTCAATAAAAATCAAAAATAATAATTATTCAATAAAAATCAAGAATAATATTTATTCAATAAAAATCAAAAATAATAATTATAATGATAATTATTCATTAAAAATCAAAAATAATAATTAAAAAAATAATTATTCAATAAAAATAAAAAATAATAACTATAATAATAAATATGTAAAAAATTCAAAAATAATAATTATTTAATACAAATCAAGAATAATAATTATTCAATAAAAATCAAGAATAATAATAATACAATAAAAATCAACAATAATAATTATACAATAAAAATCAAAATTATTATTTTTTATTTCAAAATTATTATTTTTTATTTTTATTGTATAAGTATTATTATACCCAATACTCAAAATGAGTATAGGGATATATTACATTTGTGGTGAAAATGGATGTGTGTAACGTCCAGAAGGAATAGTTACCGACCCCATAAAGTATATATATTCTTGATCAGAATAAATAGCCGAGTCGATTGAGCCCTGTCTGTCTGAACGTCCGTCCCTATGATCGCCTAGTGCTCAAAGACTATAAGAGCTAGAGCAACGACGTTTGTATTCAAACTTCTGTAATGTCACTATTACACGTATATTTCAAAAATTTCGCCCCGCCCTCTTCCGCCTCCGCAAAGGACGAAAATCTATGGCAACAATATTGAAGATACGAGAAAATAAAAAACCCACAATTATAGAAAATTACTATATCTATCAGATTGCCGAATCTGGATCGGATCGGATTATTATTATAGACAAAAGTAAGAAATCAGTCGCTACGCAGCGCCCGAAGACACGCTCAGACTGATTTACTGTCTCTCCCGCATCCACTCTTTGTCGTGTCGTGCAATGTTAGCGTCGTCTGGTGGAGGAGGGCCATACTGACAAAGTATCGGGTATAAATGTAGAGTTGCGGTCGCCTCAGCACTGATGGACTGTCTTCCATTTAATTACGTAGTTTAAACTCTTTGTTGTACATTTCAATAAAAAGCGTTGTATTTATTTATTAGATTACAAAGAAAAGCTTGCATATAAATTATGATAAGGTATGGAAACACAAGAGCTGTTCTTAAAAGACATATTAAATAAATAAGATCTAAATTAAAATTTATTTATTTATTTTTAAAATTAAATACTTAGGGCTACAACTATATTTAGAGATTATATAAATCTAATTGATGTTCGTGATTATTCAGCGTTATTGGGAACGCTATTGGTTCACAGCGTATTTCTAGAGCTCAAGTGACTGAAAATTCAAATGTGTTGTTACTATTCTACGACCAATGTGTAAATATCAGCGCGGCATGCTGATAGTTTAAAAAAATAGTTTACAAAGTTAACTGCTACGTCAATGTCCTCTACTATGTTTGTTATTTTCAGTCAGTCGAGCAATAGCGATAGCCGACAGTTTGTTCGTATGTTTCCATATTTTAGTTTCCGTCTTCAGTTGATCTAAAAAATTCTATGTAGACTACCATTGTTACTGCCACAGATGCATTTGCATGTGCAGTGTTCAGTGCGGAGTGCAAATGCATTGAGGCGAAGTACAAATTCATTTCAATCCGTTAAAACTATGCAATTCGTGGTTCGTTTGTAAAATTGCTATAAAAACTAGTTCGTTCGTTTCTCCATTTTACACGTATTGTATATAAAAGTATAAAAGCTTGGAATAGTTTATAGAAGATACAATTTCTCAACTCAACTCAACTCAATTCAACTGATCTGATCTGATTTGATCTCATTGTGCGCGTGTTACAGGCGGATTTCGTTGTTCTTGCAACAAAAGAAGACTAGAAGCAACAATTATACACAAAAAATAATAATGTTTAAAATAAAGTGACTAAAATACTATAAAAGCGCATTGAAAAGAAGTACAATATTGCTATTAAAAAACAAACAAAAAGAAACGGTTGTTCAGTAGCCAAATGCCGTGGCTCTTCGTAACGCCATTGATTGTGTGGGAGCGCCAGAAGTACAATATCTCTGGGGTGTTATCTGATGGATGGATGTTGGGGGCTTTGCTTTAGCTTTTGCATTGTGTTGAGAGTCTCCTGAAAGCGATTTGTATATGGCGGCGGGCACAATGAACGACTTTACAAGGCACGCGCGACGTTGGTTGCTATGGGCTGTCACTAGGGGGTTACAAATACAAGTACAAATACATAAGTAATTCATTTTAAGTGAGCGCGTTCTAAATTAATTGCACCTATACTATGTATACAGTACAATATCACTGTTTGCTTCGTCACCATAACCTAATCCGAAACAAATTGGCGTAATTCAATTGAAAGAGTGCGAATATCGGTGAACCAAAATTATTCCTATTGCATACGATCCGATCTGATATTGATCTGATCACCCGGTCCAGTGTCCTTCATTAGTTTTGGCACCTACTAGGTATACATACATACATACGTTCTGATAAGGTTCTGATTCTGATTCTTGTTCTGGTTCTGGTTCTGTTCCTAGTCTTGTTGATCTATTCGAATTGTGTTCTATTGCTTTTGATCGATCCGTGGGTGCAATCTGGGTCGGTTGGTTTGTCTGTTTGTGATGTGATTGTTTGTCTGCAGTGCTTAAACATTAGTTAAAATTATATTTAGTGAGCATGGCTGTTGGTGGTTCATCTCTTGCGGCCCGCCGCGGTGGTGGCCATTATTTGCTGCATAGTTGGACCGGGAATGCACTGCTGTGGATCGCACTGCATCTGGCCGTCGCCGCCGCAACTGGAATGGATATTAGAGAATGGGAATTAGAGCCGATCAAGGACTAGTCGGTGTGCTGTTATACTCACGTGCAGCGCATGCAAGGACCAGTCTTCGACTCGATGACCTGGCCAACCTCGTATGTACGGTTGTCTATGAGGCAGCCCTCGTTAATCACAGCGGAACTCTGGGTGAAGCCTGTGAATAGCGGGGGCAGAGTGGTGCTGGTGGTTGTCGTGCTCGTCGTGACGTTGAGCACAGCGGCCATTGAGACGGGGCACTCGTAGCGCGGGCAGCAGAAGCCTGAGATGGGCTCCTCGTGGCAGCCGGCAATCGGAGGCGGGCAAGACTGCTGCAGACAGATGATGTCGCTTCTGAAGCAGAAGCAGAAGTCGCAAGGATCGTCACGTGGGATTTGCTGGGCGGAAACGTAAAGTTTGCCAGCATAGCGACAGGTGCCAGGACCGAACACATCCTCATCGTCGTACTCGTCTTCGTACTCGGGAGCATGACCGTAGGGCGGTTGTGTAATGGGACTGGCTGCTGTCGTTGAGGATGTGGTGCTGGTAGTTGGCGCCTCAGTGCTCTGCTTGGCAGTAGAAGCCTCGGTTGCTTCTTCCTCGCCCACTCGATCGCCGATTACTGGACTCTTGGTGGAGCTTGGGAGGTGCGCGAACAGTGGGTGCATTGTGGTGACGATTGTGGCGATATCTGCTTGCTCCGTGGCAACTTCCTCGCTGGAGGTCTCTGACGATGTCTCATCCTGGGCAGAAGGTGTGGTCGTGCTCTGGGGAATCTCTGACACAACGGCGGGCACTTCAGGCTCTTCGGTTTCGGGCTTCTTGTTAGCCTCATCGCCGGTCTCCTCCGATTCCTTGTCCTCGCCCTCCTTCTCGGCCGCTTCTGTGACTTCCTCGGATTCAACCGACTCGTCGCCTTCCTCAGTGGAGTCCAAGCTTGGCTTGACCGCTGGAGCTGCCGTGGTCTTGTCCTCGCTTGAGGGCACTACCGATTGGGGCAGTTCAGTGGACTTCTCGGGTACTTCTTTCTCCAGCTCCGGTGATGCGGTTTCCGGCACAATATCAGCTTCCGTGACGGCGGCCTCAGATGGGGTTGCCTCCGAAGTTGTAGTGGCAGTAGGTGGCTTCAGCTTGGCACCAGCTGGAGACTGATCAGTGGTATGCTCAGCATCGCTGCTAGCTGGCTCGGTACTCTCTTCTCCCACATCTTCGGAGACAGGAGGCTGCTCGCTAGCTTCGCTGCTGGGCTCAACATCGTGATCCACAGGGGCGACTGTAACTGGAGTCTGGTCATCCTCTTTAGCAGGAGCGGCAGTCTGGGACATGACATCTTCCATTGGCTTCGTGTCGATCTCCTCAGCAGAAGGCACATCGACTGGAGCAGCAGTAGAATCAGTTTCAGGTATGGCTGGAGCTGCGGTTGAGGCATCAAGTGGTGCTTCTGTTTGGTCGTGCTCTGCATCGGAAGAGGGCGATACTGTGGAGACATCAATTGGTGTCTTGGAATCGTTCTGGGCAGTGGGAGTGACAGCTTCTTCCTTCTCATCGATGAGTGGTGACACAGTGGTGGCTGTCGTATCCTTGGTGTCATCCTGCTTAACGTCGGACACAGCTGGGCTGGCAATGGTGGTGACGTCCAGCTCATCCTCTGGCACCTTCTCGGCAGCTGGTGTGCTGGCTTCTTCCTTGACGGAAGTGGCTGGGGAGGTCGTTGGTTGCTCAGATTCGTCCACAGTGGGGGCGGATGTCGGGGAAGCTGCCTCATCGATTGGCTGTTCGTCGGAAGCATCGGTAGGAGGCTTTGTGGTTGACTCAACTTCCTGCGCATCCACAGAGGGCTCTTTTTCGGATGGTTCCTTGACGTCTGTAGCAGGAGTAGCGCTTGCCGCGAGATCTTCATCATCCTCCTTGGCAGGGACAACAGTGGTAGAGTCCACAGAGGGCTCCTTTTCGGATGGTTCCTTGGCGTCTGTGGCAGGAGTAGCGCTTGCCGTGAGATCTTGATCATCCTCCTTGGCAGGCGCAACAGTGGTAGAGTCCACAGAGGGCTCCTTTTCGGATGTTTCCTTGATTCCTGTGGCAGGAGTAGCGCTTGCCGCGAGATCTTCTTCTTCCTCCTTGGCGGGGGCGACGGTGGTAGAGTCCACAGAGGGCTCCTTATCGGATGTTTCGGTTGCGGCAGGAGTAACGGCTGGGGTGAGTTCTTCATCTTCCTGCTTGGCAGGGGCAACAGTGGTGGAGTCGGACTTGTCCTCTTCCTCCTTTTCGATGTCCTCAGCAGATGGGACAGATGTTGCTGATGGGATATCTCCCTCTCCCAGCTGCGGCACTTCGGTTGATGCGTCGGTTTCCTTTGTTGGTTCCTCCGTCTCCTTCTCATCCACTGGTCTCTGGGAATCTGTGACAGGCTCCTCTTCGGTCGATGGCGATGGAGTTGTGGGTTTCTCAGCAGCAAACAGTTTCTTCTTACCATCGCTGATACCAATGGTGGCTTCGGTGCTTTCCTCATCCTCTGCGGATGTGGAAGGTTTCTTCTCGTCGGATGGGACTGAAGCATCTTCTTCAGCGGAGGGAGCACCGATGGTGACAGTCTCAGCATCTTCAGATGGCAGATCAGTTGATGTTTCGGGAGTCTTTTCTCCTGGTGTCTGGGCAGTCGATGAAGGCTGCTTATCTTCGGTCTCCTCATCAGCCTGCGAATCGGTTGATGGAACGATTTCATCACTGGCTTCCGTGGATCCTTCTTCAGGAGCGGCAGTTGTGGCAGAGATTTTATCTTCGGGCTGGCTTCCAATCTTATCTTCTGGAGTTGGCAGCTTGGCTGGTGCTTCAGTAGACTGCTCCTCCTCTGTTGGCTTCTCTCCTTCAGTTGGTTTTTCGTCCTCCTTTGGCTTCTGCTCCTCGATTGGTTTCTCTTCCTCGGTTGGCTTCTCATCCGCTTCAGAGACGGGGCCAATTGTGCTGATATCCGAATCAATATCAGCAGATGGCGCCGAGGTGACAGCAGGTTCCTTATCGTCCAGGCTTGGAGCAGCAGTCGATTCACGCTCCTGCTCTGTGGATGTCTCAGTGGATGAAGGTAGAACATCCTCTGGGGTTTCTTGGGGCAGTTTTGGCACATCAGGTACCTTATCGGCGGCAGAAGGTGCTGGAGTTGTCGTGGCAGCAGCAGCAGTATCGTCCTCTTCCTCCGAAGATGTTGTGGGAGCCTCGGGCTTCTCCTCTGCCTCCTGGGATGGCGTCTTGTCTGTTGATGCACTATCGTCTCCAGCTTCTTCTTCAGACGATGGGGATGTGGCAGCAGAGGGCCTGGCAGTAGAGGTTTCAATGTCGGACTCCTTCTCTACATCTTCTCCTGCGGGAAGTGGTTCTTTTTCGTCCACGGGTTTCTCAGTGCGATCTTCGTCAGAAACAGGAGCAGCAGTTGCATCTGATTTCTCATCGTGCTCAGCCCCGGGAGTAACGCTAATTGAGGGAGTCTTTTCATCAGAGGGAGCAGCTGTTGTGTCCTTGCGTTCGTCAGAAGAGGGAGTTGTCGTCGCTTGCTCATCGGACTCTTCCTTAGCGGCATCAACCGGAGCAGGAGTAGTGGTACGATCAGATTCAGGCTCGATCTCAGCAGAAACAGAAGACGGTTTCTGTTCGCTGTCATCCTTCGAAGGAACATCAGTAGTGGCGGGCGCCTCTTCGTCAGAAGTGTCTCCAACTGACGGAGCAGCCGTGGCAGTCTCGTCTTCAGGCTCTGCTTCAAGCAGGGTCTTTTCTGTGCTGTCTGGAGTCTTATCTTCATCAGAAGCAGGAACAGCAGGAACTGGAGTAGTAGTGGCCTCGCTCTCGACTCCATGGTCAGAGACGGACGCGGTCGATGACTCATCAGAGGTGTCCTTCTCGCCCTCAGAGCTTGGTTCAGTGGTAGCCACATCATCCTTGGCAGGTTCCTTGTCGGTTTCAGCCTCAGTAGTCGACTCTGGCTTGGTGGCTGGTGCTTTGGTGGGCAAAGGTGGTGCCTTTTCGTCAGCGTCTTCTTTGATCGGCGATCGCTCAGTTGAGGCTGGAACGGAATCATCATCGTCCGAACTATCTTCGGCAGAAGTGGATAGCTCCTTCTCATCCGATACCTTCGATGGAGCAACTGTTGTGAATTTGTCCAAGTCCTCGATTTCCTCTTCATCGGATGCACTGGTGGATGGCTCGGGTGTCTTTTCGGTCTTTGGTGACTGAGTAGATGGCGTCGACTCCTCGTCTTCTGGCTTCGTGTCGAGCTCCGGAGCATGCACTTCAGTGGAGGACTCTGTGGAGGAGTCTTCCTCGGGTAAAGCGGGGGTGGCCGGGGTTCCTTCTTCGGAATCGGTATCTCCATCAGCAACTGGCGCTTTTGGTCCAAGACTGGGGGTCTCTTCAGTGGGTTTCTCTTCTTCACTGGGCTTATCTTCTTCAGCTGGTTTCTTCTCATCGATTGGTTTCTCTTCCTCTGTCGTGATGGGAGCAGTGGTTGTGGCGGACGATTCATCTCCAGTCTCCTTTTGGCTATCATCTGCAAATTGAGGCGGAGTTGTAGCATCTTCTTGGGACGGCTTCTTGGTGGCCTCATCTGTGGTCGGCTGCTCTGTGGCTGGGACAGTTTCAGCTTCTCCTTCTGGCTCCTTCTTAGCCTCATCCGTGGGCTTGGGCACGGGTTCTTTGTCAAGGGGTTTATGTTTGTGTTCCTCTTCCTCAATTTCAGGAGCGGCTGTGGCTGTCGTGGGCTTGGCCATGTCCTCGTCGGAAACAACAGCTGGCTTCTCGACCGCTTTGGGTGTGGAAGACTCAACCTCCTCATCGGGCTTGACATGGGAAAGTGGCTGCTCAGTAATGCCAGTGGGCATGATGACATCCTTGGGTATTTCTTCGGTGCTGGCACCCGACTCATCCTCATCGATCCTGTCAATAGGCTTGGCAGTGGTGTCCTCCTCATCGCTCTCCTCGCAAATGTAAGTTGGGCAGCAGCCAGCAAGAAGATCGGAAGAAAGGACGCACTTGTCGCGGTTCTCGGGCTCCTTGCACTCCATTTGCTGGCAGGACACAAGGCTGCTGATGCACTTGCAGGACACATCGCAGGCCGAGGTGGCCGGCACAATGGTGTTGTTGGCATAGGTCTTGCCCTCCACCAAGCAGTCACCTTCTCCAGGAATGACAGCTGGCAGGTCCATGGCGGGCAGAGCTTCGGAGGAGCTCTGATCATCGGCACTGGGTGAAACGGTAGTCTGCTCTGACGCGAAATCGTCGCGGCTGACAACTGGCACTGTGGTTGGCTGCTCGGCACTGGGCGAGACGCTGCTGGACTGCTCTTCGGGCAGGGGAGTGGTCGCCGGCTCTTCTGGCTTCGATGGCTCCTCTTTGATGGCTGGTTCTGTTGCATCTTCGGCGCTCTCGGTGGAGTCCTTCTCTCCGACAGGCGGCAGGTAGACTGATGACGGCTTGTCGGTAGAGACCTCTCCGTCTTCCACTGGGAGACTTGTCGAGGGCTGGACGTCGAGAACTGGTGGTACAATGTCGGATTTAGCTGGTACTGCTTCGGTGCTTGTCTCGTCTTCGTCCTTTTCGTCCTGAGCCTTGTCTGTGGTCTCATCCGGCTGATCCTGCTTTTGGAGTGGTGTGCTGGTCGATGCCTCGATTTCGGCTTCCTCGGTTTCCGTGGATGACTCTTCAGCAGGCTTCTCGGCAGAAACTGGCTTGGCTGTGCCGGACTTGAAGGCATCTTCGGCAGGAACTTCAGTGGATGCATCGAGATCACCTTCGGTAACCTTCTCATCGCCCTCAGGAGTAGGCAGAGTGGTGGCAGCCTCATCCTTTTCGCCAGCACGCGCAGGTGCGCTAGTGGATGTTCCAATGGAGGGCTCATCCTTTTCGGAAGCAGCCTGGACTCCTTCGGTGGATGAGGAGATCGGTGTGCCAGCTGTGGAGCCTTCTTCTGTCTCCGTGACTGGCTCCTCGTCCTGTTCTGCTGTCAACTCGGTTGAATCATCGGCAATATCGGACTTGGGCGTGGTTGTCTTGACAATCTCCTCCTCCGCGCTGACACTGACGTCCGCGGATGGAGTGGTTGGTCCGGCGATCTCCTCCTCTTCGGCGGATGTTTTGTCGGCTGGAGTCGTTGGTCCAGCAATCTCCTCTTCTTCGGCGGATGTTTTGTCGGCTGGAGTGGTGGCTTTGCTAACCTCTTCCTCTTCGGAGGCATCAGCAGGCGGAGTTGTGGGCTTGGCAATGTCCTCAGCGTCCTCACTGCTTGTGGGCTCGGCAGGCGGTGTAGCCGTGACAGTATTAATGTCCTTCTCACCCTCACCCTCGGCCTGAGGAGCGGGAGTGGTTGCCTTGGCAACCTCATCCTCCGATGGCGTGGTTCCCTTGATGATCTCCTCTTCTCCTTCGCCGCTTGCCTCTTCCGTGGATTCAGTGGGCTTAGCAGCTTCAACGTCGTCCCTATGCACCACTGCAGGTGTGGGCTTGGCCTCCTCATCTTCAGAGCTTCCGGCTGGGACAGGAGTGGCCTTGACATCTTGCTCATCTTCAGAGCTTCCGGCTGGGGCAGGAGTGGCCTTGACATCTTCCTCACCTTCAGAGCTTCCGGCTGGGGCAGGAGTAGCCTTGACATCTTCATCATCTTCACCACTTCCTTCTGGAGTTGTCGTGGGCTTAGCCTCCTCATCTTCTGAGGTTCCTGCTGGAGCTGGTGTTGGCTTGGCCTCCTCATCTTCTAATGTACCTGCTGGCGTTGGCTTGGCTTCCTGATCTTCACCACTTCCTTCTGGTGTTGTCTTGGAGTCCTCATCTTCTGAAGCTCCTGCTGGAGCAGGTGTTGGCTTGGCGTCTTCCTTCTTAATGCCTTCCTCAGGAGCAGGTGTGGGTTTGAAGTCGTCCTTCTCGGCGTCTTCCGCAGAAGTTGGCTTAACTTCATCCTCTTCGCCGCTTCCCTCCTCAGTGGGTGTGGCCTTTGTCTGGTCCTCCTCGCCACTGCCTTCCTCAGAAGGTGTGGGCTTGGCCTCTTCCGTTTCATCGCTCGTTTCCTCGGCAGAAGTGGGCTTAACATCTTCATCGGTAACGGAAGGAGCAGAGGTGGTGACCTTAACGATCTCTTCTTCGGGACTGGCCTTGACTGGTGCTGGAGAGGTGACCTTGATGATCTCCTCCTCCTCGGTGCTATCCTGCTCGACGGTCTTCGTGGGCTTCGAAACATCCTCTTCGCCGCTTCCCTCGGGCTCTGGTGTGGTGACAATCTTAATGATGTCATCCTCGTCCTCCACTTCGCCGCTGGCTTCGGTGGCGGTTTCGGTGGATGAGGCGCCGGTGGCTGCTTCAGTCGAGGTGGATGATAGATCGATTTTGGAGTCGGAAGCAATGCCGGCGGTGGAGCTCTCGGGCGTGAAGGGTTTGTCTTTTTCGTCCGAGGCACGAACTGGGGCACTTGTGGTGGTCTCGTCATCTTCAACTTCACCGCTGCCCTCCTCCGCTGTGGGAATCTCGGTGGCCGTCTCCTTGTCCTGGTCCTTTTCTTCGTCGTCAATGTGCTCCTGGAGATCCACATCCTCCTTGGGGATCTCACCGTGGATGTCCTTGGCGGGAGCGGACGTTGAGATCTCCGGCGTGGTGATCTCCACAATCTCAGTGGTGGCACTGTCGTCCTCGCAAATGTAGTTGTTGGGACAGCACTCGCCCTCGGCTGCTGGCATGGCCCGGCAGGACGTGCCGTTGGCTGCCATCATCGGCATCTTGCAATCCTGGACGGCGCAAACCATGTGTCCTCGCATGCAGTAGCAGTGCTCGCAAGCATCCTTGCCCTTGATCGAGGCACCATCGGCGTAGATGTCCCCATTGAACATGCAGTCGGTGGACTCGGTTGGCATCATGGTCGTGGGCAGGATGAAACCGGTGGTGGGACGCTCTGTAGTCGTCGTCGTCGTGGTGGACGTATCGATGAAGTCCAGCTCGTTCTCGTGGTCTGCAAGAGAATTTGATTGTTTAGTACCAGTGAGAGGCAGAGAAGGGCTGGCGACTTACCGCAACTGTAGCGCACGGGGCAGCACGATCCCTTGTTGTAGATGGGCAGGCATCCGTCCACATGGAGGGTGCACTCCTGCATCACGCACTTGGTCTGGTTGTTGATGCAGTAGCACAGCTCGCACGGCCTGTTGGGGTTCGATGGCACCTGGGCGCCCTCCGGGTAGAACTTCTCCTCGATGCTGCAGCCGAACTTCTCGGGGATGCTCAGCTCAGTGCCGGGCTCGGGGGTGTGGTAGGGTACATCGACCGGAACTGTTTATTGGGGCGAGCGGGATTGGTTAGGAATGATGGACCTCAGCTTTCAGCTGGGACTACTCACCCTCTGGGCAGGTGATGATGGGACAGCACTGATCCTCCCGCTTCTCCACGATGCAGTCGTGGCCAATGGGCTTGGTGAAGGGGCAGACGCGCAGGTAGCACATCAGCATGCGGTTGTGGCAGGTGCAGTTCAGACACGGCTCATTGGTCATGATGCGGTCGCCCTCGTTGTAATGCGCATAGTTGTAGTAGCAGCCCTCTGCAACGGAAAACAGACCAAGAAAGAGGCTCACATTACTACCTCGTCCTCAAATCTGGAGCGCTGCCTGGGAAAAGCAGCCTCAAACAATGCCTGGGCCCCCAGTTCTCTGACTAATAAATTCCAGCCATTAGTTATGGATGCAGGCCACCACAGTATCCACTATCCACAGAAGATCAAGCTGCAGCTCCAGTTCAAGTTGGAGTTGGAGGCGTGGGCGGGGGCGGGGGCGGGGGCGGGGGCGGGGGCGGGTCAATGTGTGCTACTGTGTCGCCAGGGCCATAAATAAGGCTTAGCGCCACCAGCTGTCATAATACGTGCAGCTATAGACAATTTTTATTGCTCATCAGCGTCGTTAAACAAAAGTCAAGTGCCACTGCCGGTCGTGTCTTAAAATATGCGCACGTCTGTCAGTCCCAGTGTCCACTGTCCGTCGCCGGTTGTCCGCTGTCTGGGCTGACTGGCTGCCTAATTTAGTGACGTCCACCCGCAATAAATTCAACATCACATCATTAACACGTTAAACGCGCCAGACCCACGCCCGGACCCCGCCTCAGACCCAGACCCAGACCCAGACCACAAGTCGAGAGCCGAGAGTTGAGCAGCGAGCAGGGGCTAGACCATTTTTTGTTGATTGAAATCTTTGGGGTCTCGGACTGGGTCTCGGTCTCGGTCTCAGTCTCGGTCTCTGGCGCAGTTTGAAGCTCACGTTTCCAGCATAACTCGTAAAAAGCAGCGCTTATTTCTTTATGTTTCAATTTGTTTTCGTATGTGTCTTTTCACACCTCATCTAACTGGTTAATAATGCTGCTTTATGACAGCGATTGGTTCGATCATTGGCACCCGATTAGCGGCTTATGCTTTCTGGAGCCGGCTTATCCGCCTGGACAGCACTTGACGAGCTAATTAACCATCAAGGTGGGGAATGGGTAATGCGGAAGGGGCATCTTTGATGGGAAAATCTAGAACCCCTGGGGAGATGGAACCCGTCATACATATGCATATTGTTTCATTTAATGAAACAATTCTCAGATTAGGGATGGGCTTTCCTTTCGTTTCGTTCAAATGGAAAACAAATTAAATTCGCGGCGTGCCATAAATCTCGCAAGCATTTATGGCGCATAGCAATCTGATTCTCTTCATTATTATTCCGAAACGTAATCATCATAAAACGAATCTAGATGCACTTTTACGAGTATTATGGGTGTACCAGTGGTTCAATTTTGCTTGCCGCAGCCGCAGCCACAGCCACAGCCACAGCCACAGCCACAGCCACAGCCACAGCCTCAGCCTCGATTGGGGCGGCCACCGTCGTTATTGCCACCACTTGCAGCACTCAAAAATTAAACAGAAATCCGACTTACCCGAGTACTGCTGGATCTCCGTGTATTCCTGCAGTGGAGCTGGAATGAGGAATGCGAAAAGAAATGTTTATTATTTAATGAAATGCCATAGTTACTTTGCCGCGATTACGGCAGCATTTTTATGATGGCCATATCCGTTAGCCATGACCATAATAAATTAATTTATCTATTGCAGCGAATGCATCGCAGCAAATGCATCGAATGCCGGGCTCTAATTGTGCCTGCATGCAATTGAAATTAGGCCCGGACGTGGCCCCGGACTTGCGTAGGCCTACCACTCCTGTTGATAGCCCTGTCCGGGGCCTGATAACAGGGTCCAAGTGCCGCTGGCCAGCCGCACCAGCAGCAGCTCCAAATTGCAACATCAGGAGGCACCAGCAACCACCAGCTCTAGCAGGAGCAACAGCTTGGCTTTGTGTGCGTGCAACGTGTTATTACCACATAATCAAAATGCAGCCAGCCAGGCAGCAACATCATCCGGCAATCCAGCAAAAATGGCACGTAGTCGATTCTGAGTCGAGGCCTGAGCTGCCTGCGTGTGTCCCACACTGGCCAACCGCCGTCTGGCCTGTCTCTGGCCCCTGGTAAAATGGCTCAAACAAATTGTTTAAGCTGACAGTTGGCCAGCAAGGCGAGTGCTGTAGCTGCTGCTGCTGCTGCTGCTGCTGTTCTACGAGGTTCTGGAGGCCACTTGTTGCTGCGGTGGGGTGGCGTCTATGAGCCACAAGCCAGCAGCAGCATGCAACATGCAACAAAGGACGGCCTGTTGCTGCACGGCGCACGGCGCACGACGCACGACAGAAAATGATTTGACAAATTGCATTTTTATGAATTGCTATTGCTGGCGGCTTTGCGGCTTTGATTAATTGCGTCTAGTTGAAGGGTTGACAATTTTGCACATATTTCACATTTGAATTTCCGCATACTCGTGTATCTGGGGGGCCCCGGCGGGACACTCTGGGATGACTTGCTCTTTGCCGGGATCCACATTTAAATGGAAGTCTGGCCCATACAATTTGGCAACAAATTGCAGGCGAAACAACAATAAAAATTCTAACGGCAAGTGCTCATAAGCATGAATTTGGCCCAGGCCCAGAGCCAGAGCCAGAGCCAGACTCTGGCCATGAAACTGGTCAAGACGGCGGCAACAAATCAGAGTAGCAATTTCAAATCGTGGCCAAAGAACTGCTCCTAGAACATCTCTCTCTCTCTCTCTCTCACTCGAAACTAACGGATGTAAATTACATTTTATGCGGTAAGAACAACCACACGACCGAACCTGGCAACGCATAAAAATTCACACATTAACTGTTAAGGATTGTCGGCCAGCAGGTGGAGATGGAGATGGATGGGAGTCAGAGGCGGTGGCGAAGGCGAAGGCGAGGGGGAGGGGAGCTACCACTTGACTGAACTGAACTCAAGCCTGGAGAAGGCAGTGTGAAGAATTTGGCTGCAATGGGAGTCAATCATGCAGCCGGTTCGCAGTCAGTCCGATACGAGACACAGTCCCAGACCCAGACTCAGACCTAGAGCCATAGCCAGACTCTGGCAGAGAGCAAGACCACGACGACGACGACAACTCCCCAGTTGCCGGGACGGGACCGCCTTGTAATGCAAACTTATGCAACAATTTTGTGCTGTGCAAGTGCAACAACTAAAACAAGCCACATACTACATCATCATTACGATTATTATTATGATGATGATGATGATCGGGGCGACGCAACGAACTGTTGTTGCTTTTGATGCTCTTGCTGCTGTCGAGGAGGAGGATGATGATGATGATGATGATGGTGGTGGTACACATCAAACATGGTCGTGTCGGTCCAACAAACAGAAGTCAGTCAGTCAGTTAGTCAGCCAAAGTCGCTGCTGATGTTGTGGCTGGTGTTGATGTGGATCCAGCTACAACTTGCCCGGCTCTGCCCCTGCATCGTGTAGTACTTGGGCAACAGAGAGTGCGGTCGAAGCCGAAGTTAAAGCCAAGTTCTTGGCGGTGGCGTTGGCTTTAGCTTGGTCTTGCTCTTGCTCTTTGCTGTTGCTCCCGCTCGAGTCGTGCATTTTGTTTATTCTAGGAAAGCGCGCGCGCATTCGCCCCCTTCTGATCCTCCTCCATGGCCATGGCCATGGCTGGCTGCTTGGTCTGGGCCAAGACGCTGCCACTGCCACTGCCACTGCCTCTGCGGCAAGTTGAATGACCCGTCGCGCATGTGTGCAAAAATGTGTACACAAACCATAAAATACAAGCCACAAGCACTGGCACTGGCACTGGCACTGGCACTAGCACCAGCTCTGGCACTGGCTTTTACTTTACTTACATAAGTAGGCCTAGGTGCTTCAGCTGTAGCTGTATATCTGTAGCTGTATCCGAGGCTGGACTGAACCAGAGTCACATAGTCACAGGCCCAGGCCAAGGCTCAGACGCAAGCCCAAACCCAAGCCAAGACCCAGGCACGCCTTTTGCTGGTTACGCTTTATTATTTAGTGCTGTGGGTGGACTCGGCTGTGGGGGCAGCAGAAAGTGGGGGAAAAAGTGGAAGTTTTCCCCAAATATTCTTGTTGCTAGCATTACTTTTATATTCCCCACCCCATCTCTGGGCCTGGGCCCGGGTCTCTACGATTTCTTTGTATAGGACTCTGGCTGCGCCGTGCGGCTCGATGCGGAAACGCAGGCGAGTGAAAATATTTGCCATGCCACAAATATTTCAAAGATTACTAAATAAACACAAATCTTCGCCAGTCTGTTGTCCCCAAATGCGTTTGTCGTTGCCTCTCTTCTCCTTTTTTTTTTTTTTACCGCTATTCGCAGCTGCAGCAGCGACAACTTGACCACACCCACCGCCACCTCCAGTCGCAGACGCAGACCCAGCCCCAGTCCCAGTCCCAGTCCCGAAGAAGCGTCGGATCAGGCTTTGGCCTGAAACGTAGCCGTTTCTCACTCTGTTTTTGGTGTGACCGAGGAGAGTCTTTCTATATTTATCTATCTTCTAATTAGATGCAGCTAAAACAATGCCCGGGGAGACGAGCAATAAATCGATCTATAATTGCGATTCCCAGTAAAGGCACAAGGCAGCAGCATCCAAGAACAGCCAAGAAGCCACAAGGAAGCACAAGAAGAAGCCACTACGAAGAAGGAGCATGCAAATTTTTAATGGACTTTTGTTGGGCAAAACAATTTCCATTTTCTATGGCCTTGATCACATAATTTCCATAATGCCGAGTAGATCAATATGGAGTGAGCGACAAGCTAACAACAACACAGACAGAAGGAGCCCAGACTTCCGACCCATGCCCATGCCCATGCCCAGGCCCAGGCCCAGGCCCAATGCCTCCACAGCCACAGTATCATGTCCATGCATCAACGCTGAAAGCAGCCGCCAGGCAAGAGGCAAAACTGCAACACGGCAGGAGGCGCCCTAACAATGCAACTGCAACTGGAAGCATCGGGGGCCGCACAGCAAATGAATTTGCGAGTAATTTAACATGATTATGTCGGCGACAAGGTAGCAATGTAGACATCGAAGCTGCTGCTTCTGCTGCTGGTGGAGCTGCTGGTGGAGCTCCTCGATTGCGGCTCCCCAAATTGGACGCAGTTGCTGTGGCCACGGGTATTGTATGGGCCATTGCCTTGGCTAGGGCGCTACCTTGGCGTGACGCTGTGTTTTATTACCGGACTGATGCTAGAGCCTAGACCATGATTCGTTCTAAGTAAATTATGCCCGATGGTCATGATGTGGATGGGGCGGCCATGAAATTGCACCAGTCGAAGGCTGTTCTGGTTGTTGCTGCCGTGCATATGAAACAATTACCGAGGCAAGGGTAATATCAGAGGAGGCTTAGACCTAGGCCCGCACAATCCTGCCTGTCTATATGTGGACATTGTAATTGCAGGCCCGACTCTAGGCCCAAGTTCGACTACGACTAGGACTAGAACTCGAGCTCGAGCTCCTCGAGCTCATCTCATATGCATATTTATGGCTGCCTGCCTGGGCAATGTCATTAGAGAGTCAGTGTCTGTTTGTCAGTTTGCCAGTTCGCCAGTTCGCCAGTTTGTCAGTTTGTCAGGTTGGGCGAACTTTTCCCTACCGCTCCTGACTGCTTAATAGATAATAATGAGGCCCAGTCGGCTGGCAGCTGGCCTTGGGGCGCTGTAATTAAGCAGTTAAAGGAGGGGTCGGTGTCGGTCGCCAGGAATTCTTTCCCACAGTCCGGGTCTCCGGGGCCCTAGAGTTTTACGAGCATGTGTCCTGTCTTTGATTTGTTTTGATGGCCTTTGCATGGCTTTAATGAATCCTGTCCTCCCCCGTCCCCGTCCCCGTTCCCGTTCCCGTCCAGCAATCAATCTGTCCGACTCAGTCAGAGCACTCTTCCCCCGACTCGGGGCTAATCACAGACTGGCATTCCACTCCCCAGCTCTACTGTGTTCTGTTCTGTTCCGTTCTGTTCTGTTCTGTTCTGTTGCGAGGCAAATATATCATAATTTTGTTTGCGCAATTTTAGACAGTCCAAAACGGAGGCCTAGACAGAGAGATGGATGCACGGCCGGACGGAGGTGGAACTGTCGTTCCGCAGCTCGTGCTGCACCGAGGAGCTCCTCCTTGGTCTGCATTCAATTATTACACCGCTAGCTGTTATTGATAACAGCGCATTGATTACAGCAATTGCCGAAATAACAGACAAGCCAGTCCAACGGCAGATTCCGATGCAGATTGAGACTCAGATTGCTGCAGTGGCTGCTGGAGGAGCTGCAGTCGGAGCCTGACAAGTGATGGATGCATCCATGGCCCGGCCCCGGCAATCAGCAGCGGCAGGAGGTGCCTCAGCAGCAACAAGTTTTCCCCTGCGCATGCGTAACTGTTTATTAATTCGAGTGCAAGTTGGGGAGTTGGGGATAGAGCAGAGCCCCAAGAGGAGCACTCTCTCACGCTAGAAGTCCTGACTTGGGCCTGACTCAGACTCTGGGCCCGATTCAATTAAGTGCTCGCGGAACGCATCCATGTGGCATTCTAAGCGCTAATTGCTCACCGCCGCCGCATTTT